AGAGGCAGCAACTGGACAACCCAGTAGAGGCAGCAACTGGACAACCCAGTAGAGGCAGCAACTGGACAAGCTAGTAGAGGCAGCAACTGGACAACCCAGTAAAGGCAGCAAAAAACTATCCCGTCATTCAATTACTGTGCTACAGCATCGAGAAACTAATCATTCGATTTGTAAAGACCAAATTTAGCGATTATCCGGTCGCTTTTTACATTTATTTTTGGGAGGAGAGGGGGGATTTTGAAATTTTATCGATGAACTACATAGATAGCAAAAAAAAGGACCGAATGATCGCTAGACATTTTTTTACGAATCTAATGGTACATCTCTCAATGCTGTTGCTTGAAAATCATTTGAGAAAATAGACTTTTGAGATGGCGTATTTTGGAAATTTTAATTGTTCAGGGGAGCCAAATGAGTAAAATTTATCGAAAAATGTAGATATGCTAAAACGATCGCTTAATACTGCAGCCCCAGCTTTCCCATTGGCAATTAATCGTATTAAGAATACCATCACGCGTCTTTATATTTATTCTTGTCCAGTTTAATGCGAATAATATAATATAAATGTGATATATCTGATATAAATATTTCTATAAAATGGTCATTTTATAAAAGTTCATAACGGCCCAACGAGAAAAGTCTGGCATGTACATCTTTGGTATCAGCTTCATTGGGCGCGTCTTGTTTGTAGCTTTCAACCGAGTTCGAAAACTTTGCAATTTACGCGAATGATAATCAATAAATATCTTTTTAAAGACAAAAGTTGCCGAAAATCTTTATAAAATGGTCATTTTATAAAAGTTCAAAGCAGTCTTATGCAAAAAAATATTGCATGTACATCCATGATTGTAACTTTATAGATCGAGTCTTGCTTACAGTTTTCAAACGAGTGCAAACACATTGCAATTTGCCCAAACAAAAATCTATAATTACCGTTTTCAGAACAAAAATTGTTAAAATTATTATAAAATGTTCATTTATAAAAGTTCAAAACAGCCTCACGCAAAAAATATTGCATGTACATCCATGGTTGTTGCTTCATTGAACGCGTCATGTTTGCAGCCTTCAAATGAGTGTAAAGACTTTGCAGGTAACGCGAATAATGATCTATAATTAAAGATTTGATTAAAGAAATATATAGGAACAATAGTTATGAAAGATTCATTTTATAACAGTTTAAAACGGCCTCACGAAAGAATCATGAAAGCTACCTCATCTCAGATTATTGCAGCCGCTGTGTAATAATTCTCCCTACAGAATGAAATGAAAACACAGAAAACGTAATTCCTTTGTTTTTTTATAAAGACGCTCCCTTTAATTAATTAATCACATGAAATCTATTTTGAAGTTGGTCAACGGGCCTTTCGGAAGAATATGAACACAATGATCAATGCCTACAGAAGCTAATATTTTTGTGCATCACAATGCACTGCGGTAATTTTTATATAATGTCGAACAATTTTTCATGCACAAAATTTTAACTACAAGGATCCACATGGAAAACTAATTATAACAATAATAACAATAATAATAATAATAATAAAAATAATAAACTAATATTCATATTACCGCCTTCACTCTGTAGCTCAATTGTACTTCAATGCCAATTATAAAGAACCACCAGTGTTAAAATTAACTAAAGAATTGTCTAATAAGTTATCTTAAATTAATCATTAGTATTACGTAATTTAAAAAAAACAATAGTTTTCCAAGCACATGAGATAAAGTTCCACAATAAAATTGTAGCTAGGTCATTTGAATCCCATTGGCTGGACTCATTTTGTTAATTAAGTTATCAAGATTTTTCTAAAAACGCTTCTAGTTACGTTTCACAACTCGCTGTCGACCAAACTTGTTTCATTTTCTTCTAAGACAGGATAGCGGCTCGCGAAAGTCTCTAAAATATCATATAAAAAAATTCTAACCACTGTTCATCGATACGAAGCTGAGAGTGAAAGGAATTTTGAATCAGTGAACTTAGCTAACCAAGTTTAGTTTTGTGAGGTCTATTACTAGTTTTCTGAAAGTTATTGATAAACGTATGATATTTTCGTAAATTGAAATGAAAACAAACGTAAAAATATATTATCTTCTGATTCCCGTACATTCAAATAGCTAGAACAAATCTTGTTTTTCTAATACCTTCTCCTCGCATAATACATCTTCAGAATTTTGATTTACATAAATTATTGAAGGTCGTAAGTTAGCTTAAGATACAATTTTATGATGATGAGGATTTTTATGATGAGGCCTGGGGCTGCTACGTCCTACACATACTAAGGATACTAAGTTGCTGTGACCTGGGGCTGCTACGTTCTACACACACTAATGATGCTAAGTTTGTGTGGCCTGGGGCTGCTACATTCTGTTTTACACACTAAGGATGTTAAGTTGGCGTGGCATGGGGCTGTTACATTCTGTTTTACACACTAAGGATGTTAAGTTGGCGTGGCATGGGGCTGTTACATTCTGTTTTACACACTAAGGATACTAAGTTGGCGTGACCTGGGGCTGTTACATTCTGTTTTACACACTAAGGATGTTAAGTTGGCGTGGCATGGGGCTGTTACATTCTGTTTTACATACTAAGGATACTAAATTGGCGTGACCTGGGGTTGTACATTCTGTTTTATATACTAAGGATACTAAGTTGGCGTGACCTGGGGCTGTTACTTTCTGTTTTATTCACTAAGGATACTAAGTTGGCGTGACATGGGACTGTTACATCCTACACATACTTTGGGATACTAAGTTAGAGTGACCTGGGACTGCTACGTCCTACACATCCTAAGGATACAAAGTTGGTGTGGCCTGGGGCTGTTACATTCTGTTTTACATACTAAGGATACTAATGTTGATAAGTAAATGAGCACTCACTGTATCTTCGTGGAACCAACGCGCCTCCATCGCCTGCCCTGCGCGGTGCTGCACGACGCAGCGCAGCGTTAGAGGCGTGTGTTCGGCCACCGAAATTTCAGGGCCTTCGAGAATCACGGCTTTTATGTCTGTTGAATGAAAAGAAATCAAGCCATTGAGCATCGACAATAGCGCGATAATTGTCTGAAATGAGGGGAAGATCTCAGCTCAAGTAATCTTTGAAATTTTATTACACATTGAAACAAGAATTACCTTATAAAATGACAGGTTTGAATCGAAAAAATCATCATCAAATTCTTAGAAATTAAAGCTCAAAATTAAAATAAATTCAAATTATATTTTTCCTTTGATATGGATGCAATGATCATAAATTTGTACCGTCTTTTACGAACTTTCTCAAACTAATAAAATAAACCTCGTGATAAAGACTAGAACCTCCCAGAAATCCCTTCACAGTTTTTTTTAACCATTTGCAGACGATGGAAATCTACACAATTTTCTAAATCACTATTGGAGGACTAGAACCTCCCTGAAATCCCTTAGTCTCTTTTTTCAACCATTTGCAGACGATGGAACTCTACACAATTTTCTTAAACATTATTGGAAGACTAGAACCTCCCAGAAATCCTTACAGTCGTTTTTCAACAATTTGCAGACGATGGAAATCTACATAATTTTCCATATTACTCTATATTTTTCAAACTAAAGTATATAAATTGTCATGTATTTGCTTCAGACGAGGTTTGAGCGACAACTTAACCATTGCGTTCAGAAGCATCAGCCATAGGCGTGCCCGTGGTCTCTTCTTGGCCTCTGGCAGCAGAAGCGCGGTCTGTGTGCGGAGAAAATATTCTATGAAACGCACATGTTAAAAATGTTGAAAATGACATTACTAAATATCATTTTTAAAATTATATTTGGTTATGTCATCAAAAAATGTTAAAAATGACATTACTATATGTCATTTTTAAAATTAAATTTATATATGTCATTTTTAGTTATGTCACTTTCAGTTCTGCCATTTTTATTTGTATTTAAAAATTTATTTATTGTGTATTTCTGCCATTTTTAAAATGGCATTTAGATATTTTTTTAGAAAAATTACGTTTTAAAAAATGTTAACATTGACATTATTAGTGACACGTGTCTTAACGGTGCAGTCATGCCTGCATTTTTTATCGTAAATAATGGTTCGTAGAAAGTCGGTCGTGGTGGAGTGGTGATATTCGTCAGATTAATAATATATTCGTGAGGAGAGGAAGTTAAGATGTGAGTCTGATTACTTATATATTAAGAGAGAGTGATGACGTATATCTGAAATTCGTTGCGGAATGATGATTCAATTTCCTTAAAAAACAGCTAATAACATTTTTTTTTTCACTTATATGTTTGAAAAATCATATTTAAACACAGAATGGTTTAGTTACAATTGATCAAACTAATATGTGGTTCCGAGAAACCTGAAATTGGAAATAACTACATATACTACATAATTTAAACATTGAATTTCAAGCACATAAATCAGGATTTGAATGCATACAATAGCGATTTTGAATTCTTTGTCCAGTCATTATCTGAGAAAAATGTGTTAGTATCGAGCTATTTATAGTGAAGTTAACCTCTTAATTTCTTATTACAATCGAATACCGAAAATTTCGCATCAAAGGTTGATTTCAGTAAATAAATCATGATCCAGCCATTAGGTTATGTCAATGTAGAAGACTAAAACAAACATGAACCCGGCCGCAAATTTTTATTAGCATAATGAGCGACTGAATCTATGCACAATATAGATTATGCAACATAGATATGCAACAAATAAAAAATATTCTGGATGCGTTTAAATTATTTTCTCCTTTTTTAATTAGTTGGGAAAAACAACAGACATATACGTTGTCTGGCTTATTAATATTCAAGATAGAGCGGAGATTCTCAAGCTACCCATAAATAACTTCACATAAATAACTTTGACCATCAGCGCTTGACAGCGTGAACGATGAGCGCTGGCGCATAAGTTTGGCTCAAGTGACGATAACCATAATTCATATATAACATAACCATAACCACATAACATTAACATAACCATTTAACATAAACATAATTCACACATAACATAACCATAACAACATAACATAAACAAAATTCATTCATAACATAACCATAACCACATAACATGGACAAAATTCATACATAACATAAACATACTTCATATATAACATAACCATACCCACGTAACATAAACATAATTAATACAAAACATATCCATAACCAGATAACTAAACGTGATTTATACATATCATAACCATAACCACGTAACATAAACATAATTCATACAGAACATAACCATGACCACGTAACATAGACATAATTTATGCATAACATAAACATAATTCATACATAAACATAATTCATACATAACATAACCATACCCACATAACATAAACATAACTCATACATAACATAACCATAACCAAACAACATAACCATAATCCATGCAAATTATGTTAGCCTTTATTTTCAGTGATTTGGATCACGACGTAATAATGACAATAGCTTTAGCTCAGAATTTAAATTAGGAGTGTTCACCACAACTAAATCATATGTTGTTTTTACCACAACTCAATCATATAAAAGTGATGAGAAAACGTCGCTGCAAAGCTTGTGCGGGAAAATTAAAGACATTTGGGGCGCTGAGGGATGAATATTTTAGATTGTCTTCTCTTTTGTTGGTTGGCTAAAGAAATTAATCATCAAAACATTCATTTTTATGGTATTTTCCGTTCCTTTCTCACTCAAATTCACGCGCAAAACAAAGTTTGTTCTTTTTTCACGCAAGGAAATTCATGACATTACATAATTTGTGCTTGCCGCTTAGTTAGATTATGACTGATATTATAAGGGTAAGCTATAGATATAAACATTGTGTTTTTCTGACTTTATCCATGAGTTACATAGATGCTATTTCTTCTCGTCTGTTTTTATAACGTATGTGTTGTCCATAATAAACTGAAAATTCAATGTCACGGCACCAAAATTTCTTGAAATTAAAGTTAAACCAATCGAAACCAGATGCATGTGATTGCTCAGGTTATTGAGACATTAAAACTATTAAGTGTATAGATTAATTTTTACCATTCTTTTTGATAATTGTATATATATTTACCTTTACTATTTGTACTGAATACTGCTCAGCTAGTATGCGTTCGTAAATTTTAGAGCAATGTTATTTAATGAATTATGGCGCGTAGAGTCCTGAGAGTTTTTATTCACAAGCCACGACATATTCATGTCGTTCCATCCGACAAGTTGGCACCGCCCACCTCGCTTAATCAATACTTAATAAAAACTAGATTGTAACTTCACATGAAGTTCAGCATGCAACTCATGCGATGTGAGTACAGTAATTGTTTCGTATATCACATCGCGTGGCAAGAAGACAGACAAATGGAGAGATTGAATGTATATGTATTGCTTTTACTACGATAGCGTTAATAATTCTTTAGCCTATATTTCTTTAGATAAATATATAGGATATGCTTCTGTTCATGTTTGATGAGCTATAAGTAATGTATTGGACTGCGAAAATTCTAGAAGATAATGAAAGTTAATCAGGACCGTCATGAAATGATGTATGGGGCTGAATAAATGCTTTAGAAACAGTTTTTTTCACAATAAATATTTATCACAACTATTAGAACACATCAGGGTGACGTATTGGCATGCCACGGTGGTGTTGAGGTCGACTGCTAAGGAGCGGAATAATTTAATTCGTATGCGCCGTACGGGAGCTGGTAGTGGCGTTATTAAGGAACTACAATAGAAATAATGAAAACAGGTAGGAACTATAATAGAAAATAAATGGAAATATGTAGAAAATCTAAAATAATTAAGTATAGTAGAAAATCAAGAGAAAATAAATGAAATATGCAGGAACTACAAGGGGAAATAAATGATAATAGGTAGGAACTGCAAGAGAAATAGCTGAAAATATATAGGAACTACAAGGGACAATAAGCGGTAGTAGGTAGGAACTAAAAAAGAAAATAAATGAAAATAGGATTCAACAACTCCTGAAAAAATCTTAAACTGAGGGAAATTCCCTCACGCAAACGCACTCCGATCAATCTTTCGCGTTGGCTGTTTCATGAGTGCGGTCCTAAAGCGGACTGAAAATATAAGAACAGGAGGTAGCAATAGAAGGTTACTACCCAGTGAAAATTTACAGTCGCCCCAGCTTCTGATTTGGATTACCAGAAGCTGGGGCGACTCTGAATTTTGTTACCCAGTGAATATTTACAGACGCGTCAGCTTCTGATTTGGATTACCAGAAGCTGGGGCGACTCTTAATTTCGTTAGGGTAGCATCCGCCTAAAAATAGAAAAAAATATAAATCGCTAGAATAGAAAAAATATAACTCAGTACTCACTGCAGTGAGTGACAGAGAGCACATTTTCTCAAAATCGACGAAAACGTGAAGTCACAGACAGACAGACGGACTGACGGACGGACAGACGGACGGACATGACGAGCAAAATAGCACCTTTTACCAAATATGAGAAAATGCGCTAAAAATAGAAATTCCTTTGTTCTTGAGCACAAATTTTATTCAAATTGAAATATTATATAGTTTTTCTTCATCTGGTAGGTGGAGCAGCTGCATATCACCATCAATAACAATATTTGGTAGTGAAGACTAATGACGTCGAAATTTTCCCCGAAGAAGCTAGAAATGTTTTAACAATGACAAATTCATAAGCTAGCTAGCGTTGTAAGGAACTCATTTAGGTTCTTAATTAGATAAAATTCATGATTAATGATTGCTCGGCTCGCAAATTGAGCCGGAGTTAAACAGCAGAAAAAAATTTTAAAGCAAATTGACCATTTCTTTCCTGATGAAGTTCCTGAGTCAGTCTGGATTTCTAAATATAATATTAAACGTAAAATAAATTTATATGACTTATTAACACGGTGGTCCTGACTACACATATATTAACTCGCCAATGTAATACGATAGCACTGTGGAAACAAATCAGCTGACAATTTCAAGCTTTTAATTTTTGAGTCTAGTTCGAACTAAGTTTCTGTTTGGGAATAGGCACTTATTATTCCAAAATTCACATATCTGTTTTGAGAGTATCTCGAACGAAGTTTTTGTTTGAAAATAGACCATTATTCCAAAATCCACATAACTGAAGAACGGTAAGTAGAAATTGAAATTTTACAATTCTTTCCCTACGCGGCAACGTTGCTTTTTTGACAAAAAGCTGCTAGGTGAATGTGTTAGAAGCGTTATTAGATTTCCAGCACGGTAAAAACTAGCATCATTAATGTCGCTACTAGATTGCATCGTAATGCCGCATGAGATTACCTGTATGATATTTTATTAAATATAATTGGCTTTTCCCAAACCTAAAAATTTATTCGCCTTAAAGCGGTAAAAAGTCTGTTATAATTTCACGAGTATCAATTCAGCCGTTTCTAAAATAGAATTAGTATTCATAACTTTTTAAATTCAACTCGAAAGTTTTCCCAAACCTATAGAAATTTATACTGCTGTTTAAACGGAATGGCTACATGGGACTAAAAAACATTTATGCCTAAGCAACAGGCAACGAACTCGCAGCGTTTCTCGTGCATATTATACTTTTACATTGAATTTACTTCTCGTTGTTTCCTAGCCACCTCAAGTTAATTATGCTCTTAACACATTCTAATTTTTGGCGAATGGAATGTCAATAATTTATTATTTGGCTTCATTATTTATACTTCCCATGGTGATGACCTTTCTAGCTAAATGATAACTATTCGCGCCCACGCTGATCTTTAATACAGACCAGATAGTTTTTAAAATCCCATTAAAAATGAGAAAAAATCCAAGTTTGTGAGTTATTATATAAATTGTGAGTTTTATATTATTAATAATTATGGAGATTATTTGTTAGCATTGAGTGTGGATTCCTACGTAAATAGATGCCATAAGATATTTACATATTCAGATATTTTTTTCATAGATTTTATGCTAAAATATGGTTATTTGAACCACATAGTAGTAAAATGCTTACATGAACCATGCACACATAATCAAATATTTCATGCGCATCCAAAAATAAAATCAGCAGCAGGAGGTTAAAAAATATTTCCAGTAGTTTAGTGAATACTCGGCAGTATTCCTAAATCCTAGAGGATTCTTTTACAAACAAATCATTTAAAACTCATCTCGAGTTAAAACAATTCATGTAAGAAGAGTTCCATATTGAGCTCTAAAGAACTTTTTCGGACGGTGCATTTTGCGGCAACGTTAAATCAGGCAATCTCGGATTCCAAGTGAAGGCCAATACGTTTGTTTATTACCTTGTCTATAAAACCCACGCTATTCGATTGCTTGCTGTCGATATTGCAAGAGTTGCAATCGTGAAGGAGCTTCAATTCACCATGTTCGGCACGATGATAAGCATCAAGATGGCTTGGGCGCTAAGAACGTAAACAGGTGTATACGGATCGCGAACTGCTGTTGTTCTACTGTTTACAAACATCGCAGCTGTTCTAGAACATTGAGACTAAAATAGATGGAAGGAAGGCCACCAACCGACGTAACTAACGTAGCACATCTCACGCGTTGTCTGAGAAGCGAGTTAAGAGTACGACTTAAAAGGCTCCGGTCAAGGGAGAATGTTAGGTTGCACTCATTGTGTTTGCACAAGCTCGCCATTGTAAATAAAATAAAAAGTTTAAGTTAGAAACAAGAAAAGTACAACGAGTGTTGCATCACCCAGCTTAAAGCAGAAATAAGGATGAGTAAAACGATAATTTAAATACGAAAACGAAACAAAATAAATTCTTCTTCATTAATTTCTCTTTAAAAATTTTTTCCATAGAAAAGTGTCAACAGTTTGACTGGCGTAGGAATAGTGGAAGTAAAACAGTTTATTGTTGTAGTGTTCACTGCCAAACATAATATTTACTTTGGTTTTTATGCGTCTTAACTAAACTCGAGTAAATTATATGCAGAACCATAGCATAGTTTCTCGCTTCTTCGTTCAAGTCATTTATAATCTATGTTTTATAAGTGAAAAATATTCGTTCAATATTACCGCTTATTTATCGTTCATTCATAGTATCCTCAACAATGATCAAAGTAATAGCTCACTTTCACAAATTTTCAAAAATTATAATTATAATAATTACATATTATTATTAAATTCTAAGATTTTCTTATGGCATATGGTTAACAGTTTTGAATGCCTTATCTCCAATCATTCTCTGTTACGTAGACCGGAGAGTCTCGAAGATACGTGATCATGTGATATTCATATAAATACATTCTTATTTTTGTAAGTGTGTGGTTATTGAATGTTTATTAACGTATAAGAATTCTGTGCTTTTTTTAAGGAGTGTTAATTATGCGTCCATTAAGAAGCGTTAATTTTGTCTATATTAAAGAGCGATAATTGCGTTTATATTAAAGGGTATGCTTATCAAGTGTGTTTATTAACGGGCTTTAAATGTGTGTTTATTAACGGGCATTAATTATGGGTTTATTAAGGGGCTTTACTATTGTGTTTATAGAGGGGCGTTAATTTTGTGTTCATTAAGGGGCATTACTTATTTTATTCCTTACCTGTCTATATATTAAAGAACAGGAGTATTATACTAGTATTAGTAGTAGTATATTAAAGAACACATTATATTAGTAGTACATATTAATAATATACTATATTATCAGTATATTGAAGAACAGGAATATTATATTAGTATTAGTAGAAGTATATTAAAGAACACATTATATTAGTAGTACATATTAGTACTATCCTATATTAGCAGTATATTAAAGAACAGGAATATTATATTAGTATTAGTAGTAGTATATTAAAGAACACATTACATTAATAGTACATATTAGTACTATACTATATTGGCAGTATATTGAAGAACAGTAATTGGGAAGTAATCATACTATATTAGCAGTATATTAAAGAACAGGAATAGGGCAGTAATCATACTATATTAGCAGTATATTAAAGAACAGGAATAGGGCAGTAACAAAGATACCTTCTACGACGAGTAGCACGGTGAAGATGTGTAGCGGTTGAGTGGCAACCAGACACTCGTAGATATTAGTAGTATACATATTAGTACTATACTATATTAGGAGTACTAATAAATAAATAGAACAGGAATTGAGCAGTAGCCAACATACCTTCTACGACGAGTAGCACAGCGAAGATAAGTAGCGGCTGGGTGGCGACCTGACACTCGTAGATGCCAGCGTCGCTGAACCTGACGCCGTTGATCCTGAGTAGCCATTGCCGCGTCGCGACGCTGTGGACGATAGAGAACCTCACGTCCGTGACGTATCTGTACTCGCCCGCCGTCAGGATCTGTAGGTTCTTCCTTCTGATCCACGATACCTACGGCAAATAAAACAGGACCATTGCAATCGTGATAAATAAAACGGGACTATTACAAGCGTGATAAATAATGATGATGAATAAAACAGGACCATTGCAATCGTGATAAATAACAATGATATATAAAACAGGATCATTGCAAGCGTGATGAATAAAACATGACCGTTGCAATAGTGGTGAATAATAATGATAAATAAAGCAGGAGCATTGCAATCGTGATAAATGATTAATAAAACAGGACCATTGCAATCGTGATGAATGAAAATGATAAATATAACAGGACCATTGTAATCGTGGTAAATAATAATGATTAATAAACAGGACCATCGCAATCGTGATGAATAATAATGTTAAGCAAAACAGGGCCATTGCAATCGTGATAAGTAATAAAGATAAACAAAACAGGGCCATTTCAATCGTGGTAAATAGTAATGATAAATGAAACGGGACCATTGCAAGTATATTTTTGAAACGGCTGAACTGGTACTAGTAAAATTATAACCGACTTTTTGCCTTTCTAAGGTGAATAAATTACTGGGTTTGGGCAGCAATGCAAGACATTTCGATCATTTGGGGAAGAAAGACAGGGCATGCATTTATCCTATAAGTCTTCATTTATGCTAGGTTTTACAAATAAGGTTATGCGATGAGTAGGCTTGCTTCTAGCCGATAAATATTCATATATATAAAGGGTTCTAAATTTAATTCAGTACGACTCTGAAAAATAAACTATGCCTCACACAACGAATTGAACACAACGAATTTTAGATATTGCGCCAAGCATTCTATTATTATTATTATTATTATTATTATTATTATTATTATTATTATTATTATTATTATTATTATTATTATTATACATATCATCAACATTATTATTATCATCATCATCAACATTATTATATTTAATATTATTATTATTATCTTTATAATCATTATAATGTTATTACTTTATAAGCATAATGCCATAGCAAATGATGATATCATTACGTTCTATCTATATTTTACTTTTATTCCGTACAGTTTCTATCAATTTCCTCTCGAATGCTTCACTCGATTTGACCCAGTGAAAAGCTCCGCTGGTTTCAAATAAAAGTTAAAGAATTTGAGGATTTGAAACATCTTTCACGAGCTTGTATACAAGCTAAATTATCATCAAATATCAAAATAGAATTTTAAATTGCAGATAAATTTTAGTGTAAAGTAGTTTTGATCCGCTTTACAGATAATTAGTTCATAATTAGTTTACTATTTGGAGCTTGTAAACATATTTTGCACTGGCGTTCTATAACATCAATTATCATATAAATTATAAGCTAGTACTCAGTAAAGATCAAAAATAACCTCGTAAGTTCAGTGTCAGCAATAAAATAGAAGTTGCATCAGATGTATACCAGCAATATCAGAATAAACAACTTATGATATCATCAGGTGTTGATCTACATCACTTTTTATTGGTCATTCTGCACGGCATAAAATCCATGACGTCTTTATTTCATCAAAGACTCATTAAATTTCGTCTTTGGACTTAAGATGTTAAATGTCTGCAGCCTGAGTGCGAGACTCCAACTTGCCTGATTTACAACCTAACGCGCTAGCCAACACTCGTAGCAAGACTACGCGGGCAAAAGTATGTTGAATCTAACCCTATTCGGGACCAAGGGCCGTCCCTGAATAATGGTAGCTTATTTAACACTTAAAATTCTCTTGAATCTAACCTTATTCGGGACCAAGGGCCGTCCGTGCATAATAGTAGCTTATTTAACACTTAAAAGTGTCTTGAATCTAACCCTATTCGGGACCCAGGGCTGTCCCTGAGTACGTAATGCGTTTAGGTAGTAGCTTATTTAATACTTGCCAGACTGCATAATTTTACGACGTTGTAAGTAAACCCAGTTTAAGTACAATTATTAAGAGTAAAACAATTAAGCTTATTTTATAAATCCTTGAATCCTACTGGGCTGAGCAATATTTTTCCAATGTACTCCTAAAGTTAATCTCTTGTTCATTTATAATGCTTTTTAGTAGATATTCGTGGAGATCTCATAACTTGCTTCTTCTAATACATTCATGAGCTGTTCAAGTTGCTGTTCAAAATCAAGCCACGGAGCCCCTAGAGTTACGACTGTCGTTGAGTAGGAAACAAATCTCTATCTCGCCGGGCTTAACACTGCTAAATCTGGCACTAAAAAACGGTATCGTTCAACACAGACGAGAGACTTTTACGACGTCGCACGATTCGCTGCAGCAGATGCGCTGCCTCACTCACAGGGGAGCGAGCCATCAGGTGTTTATAATAGATTCTTTATGGTGAATTTCAGCAAATTGCCTTGAGAATTTCATTCGCATAATGACGTTCCAGCCCGAATCACTACAGGAAAAGTTAATTTAATTTAAATTTTTCAGGTGTTTATAATAGATTCTTTATGGTAAATTTCTGCAAATTGCCTTGAGAATCTCATTCGCATAATGACGTTCCAGCCCGAATCTCTACAGGAAAAGTTAATTTAAATGAAATTCGTTCCTATAATAGTGAGGATAGTGATATGAATTTGTGAATAATTTAGTAATTCACTCGAGAGTTAGCCAGAAATTATCAGTGAATGGCGATTTTACAACGAAGAGCAAAATACTACAAAAGTTTTATCACCATTGAGCGAAACGTTGCAATTGTGCTAGGTTTATCAAACAAGAGGAATCAAAAGGGCTTCATTTTGCCGATGCACAATTTAAATCGTACTCAGTTGCAATACATTTCTAAGCGAGTATATATAACCACACGGGAAGCCTGTGGTTATACTAGCTAAGACAAACGTTTATACTATCTTATGTATATAAATACATCAGAAATGTATTTATATACACTATATAAATAGATCTCTGCTGTATTTATGTGCACCATATAAATACATTTCTAATTTATCTACATATATACGCTAACAAACTTGGGAATTTTATGCCATAATCAAAATTTTGAGGAAGCCAGACCCGAGACTTGACTTCTTGTGGAAATTTTACCAATGAAGAAAAATCAACGAATCTAGCACTTGAATAGTTAATAAACACTATAATTGCTCTTGAGTGCCATAACACTGAAGCTGAAGTTATATTAAGTTAGCCTTATTTGATGAAAGAATTCGCAAATAAAACTCTGCATGATATCCCAGTAGGAAACTCCTATCACCAACTGTCGTAATTGCTGCTTAACAACTCACCTAATGCTTCGGTGTGACAGCCCATGTCTTCCATTAATTAATTGTGCATCGCAAATCCTGGAAATACCTGGCGAAGGAGCAGGACGCACATAAGGTTTCTGGCATAGGGAAATTACATTCTAACATTCCTTGGCAGTTTAACTCGACTTACCGACTGTCCCTGGTAGTGCAACTCGACTTACCGACTGTCTCTTGCGGGTAGGGCAACTCGACTTTCCGACTGTCTCTAGCCGGTGGGGCAACTCGACTTACAGACTGTCCCTGGTAGTGCAACTCGACATACCGACTGTCCATGGTAGTGCAACTTGACTTACCGACTGTCCCTGGTAGTGAAACTCGATTTACCGACAGTCCCTGGTAGTGAAACTTGACTTACCGACTGTCCCTGGTAGTGCAGTTCAACTTACCGACTGTCCCTAGCCAGTAGGGCTACTCGCCTTACCGACTGTCCCTAGCCGGTAGGGCAACTCGACTTACCGACTCTCCCTAGCCGGAAGAGCAACTCGACTTACCGACTGTCCTTGGTAGTTCAACTCTACTTATCGACTGTCCATGGTAGTGCAACTCGACTAACCGCTGACCGTGGTAGTGCAACTCTATTTACTGACTTCCCTGGTAGTGCAACTCGACTAACCGACTGTCCCTGGTAGTGCAACTCAACTTACTGACTATCCCTGGTAGTGCAACTCAACTTACCGGCTGTCCCTGGTAGTGCAACTCGACTTACCGATTATCCCTGGTAGTGCAACTCAACTTACCGACTGTCCCTGGTAGAACAACTCGACTTACCGACTGTCCCTGGTAGTGCAACTCGACTTACCGACTGTCCCTGTAGTGCAACTCGACTTACCGACTGTCCCTGTTAGTTCAACTCGACTAACCGCTGACCGTGGTAGTGCAACTCTACTTACCGACTGTCCCTGGTAGTGCAACTCGACTTACCGACTGACCGTGGTAGTGCAACTCGACTTACCGACTGTCCCTGGTAGTGCAACTCGACTAACCGACTGTCCCTGGTAGTGCACTTCGACTTAACGACTGTCCCTGGGAGTACAACTCGACTTACCGACTGTCCCTGGTAGTGTAACTCGACTTACCGACTGTCCCGCAACTCGACTTACCATCTGTCCCTGGGAGTGCAACTCGACTTACCGACTGTCCCTGGTAGTGCAACTCGACTTACCGACTGTCCCTGGTAGTGCAACACACGACACGGCAGTTCAGCCACACGTCCAACTCCCACTGTTACATTCCTCGGCATCGTCCGGTCGAACTGAGTGGCCGGCACGTCGATGTCGGGACTCTTGGGCTCAATTTCCTTCATTTGTTCATCCTCTTGTCCGCTATCGTGGTTATGACGAAGACTAACTTCAAGCTCAGGAAGTTTCATATTCTGCTGAGCGTCGTCTGTGTCTATTGTGATCGGTTGCCATGCACTCACAACTCTGCTGGTGTCGTCACCGGGGCGACTTCTCAATGGAGATAACTGAGGTTGAACCTGAATCGGGTTTGATTGTGGTTCTCTTCCATCAAACCGACTATTCCTTGAATTTTTGTAAGATATGGGATTATTTCTGTTTCTCTGTGAATTTTGCGAACGTCTTCGATTATATTTTGCATTTTCTTCAAAAGCACCAGGAGGATTATACGAAAGTTTAGGAGAATGGCGTCCTGGAAGTTTGACGATGGAGTCGTGTATGTTGTCGTGGTCCAGCTCGTCCCAGTAGCCCAGATTTTCGTCCGCCAGGGGAGCGTGGGACTGGAACAGCGCCTCCGATCTTGCCTGTCCTTCAACAAAAAATGCTAGCGTTACAATCACGCAAATGAACTTCATAGCGATAAAAATTTTTACCTTGCTAAAATACTGTACAAATTTTAAAAACTAGGGGTTTTCCTAATTTAAAAGACCATAGATCATTCTGCCATATGAGGTTAAACGAATCGCACAGAGTGAATAACTAGAATGTCCTCGTAATTTAAATCCTAAGCCATATATGCATCCCCCGAACGAGAGTTTTCAATATATAGAGTATAGATGTTTTTATGTTAATTTTCTCTGTATCCTCAAATAACGTCAGAAGCTGCAGTAGCCGGACCTGAGTTTGTTCAGAACACCTGGCCTGCTACGATGACAGGTTTTCTTTGCTTTATTGGCTCTGTCAATACGCGCCAAATGGCTCATGATTTGCTAGTGTGCTGATGTGCGCGAGGAATAACTAGCGTGAGGCCGCCAGTGAGCAATGACTAGCGTGATGCTATCAAAATTAAATTCTAGAAGCTAGTGCACTAGTATCTTGTATGTCGCCAATTTAGAAAATTTTAATTGCTCCTGCATTGAAAGGATTCGAGAGCCTATTAATCTCGAATATTTTTTCGGGATTAATGTAGTCTTCGAATCATTTAATTTCTTGTGCTTATGTTTAGTTTTAGCGTCTAAAGTCATGAGATAATTAATATACTGGAAATAAAAATTGGAACCTCGGAACCGGTCCATATTGTATTAACATGCTATAGCATAACCAGCCAGTTATCTACTTGTCAAGAAGACTTGTCTTGTTTGGCGTGAGATTTCTCAGGAACATAAAACAATATCATATTAATGGCGTGTTCATTCAAGAAACCTCGTTTGAATATCATATGAATGAAATCGTAGGCGTCGTATCTGTACACTCATCTAGACAACAAACCAACATCTGATAGCATAGTTCCACATCCCCCGAACTCTTCCTTATCTTATGCATAGAGAATATTGGCTAGCTTAGCTATACTTCTAGACCTCATAGCTATGCCTCCACACATTAGAGTGAAATCAGCCCCAAAATTCGCTGTTGGGAAAACAATATAGGAATGCCATCCATAACGAATGACTGTGTGGTCTGCGGACTGTGATAGCTTTAGTGGACGTAGCCAGGTCGTATTTTGTTAACGTTATACTGGGATATCGTGGAACGAAGCGACGCTTCTGTTAGAACGTCTAGGATTTATGAGGTTCTCAGGTGAATGAATGGAAGATACGCGATGTGAGTGGAAGCCTGGCATTTATGGGAGACACTTCGATGCTGTTTTGATTGCCTCGCTGTCAACAGCATATTTGAAATTATTTAGTATTTAATTCTGCAATTGAATCTCTATCCTGGTAGTTCCTGTTCATTGTAATTGAATACGAAGTAAAGTTATAACCTATCCTGGTAGTTCCTGTCCATTGTAATTGAATACGGAGTAAAGTTATAACCTATCCTGGTAGTTCCTGTCCATTGTAATTGAATACGGAGTAAAGTTATAACCTATCTTGGTAATTCCTGTTCATTGTAATTGAATACGAAGTAAAGTTATAACCTATCTTGGTAATTCCTGTCCATTGTAATTGAATACGGAGTAAAGTTATAACCTATCTTGGTAATTCCTGTCCATTGTAATTGAATACGGAGTAAAGTTATCAGCTATTTTGGTAATTCCTGTCCATTGTAATTGAATGCCTATATAGAGTAAAGAGTCGTCACATGAAAAATATAATACTGAAATTTGACGTGATTTTTAAAATGTATGCAGACTTGGCGATCATCGAAAGATGAAATAAAACACAGCAACGACATATTGAAAGATTCCAAACCGTGTCCTACATATGAAAACAACCAGACTTTTTCTGTTAAATGCAAAAGTGGGTTCAGATCTGATAGTGATAATTGGCTATTCAGTAATTAATTCGACTACAATCTCCATAAAAAAATATAATGTAAAAAAATTATTAATAAAAATGATATAATTTATGTTACGTGCTCTGTGCTTAAAACTGATGAGAAAAGCCCTCCTCTATGTATAAGATTTAGGTTATGAAATTTATTAGAATTTGTACGTTCAAGGAATTGGTTTCTTATAAATTATTTGCTGATTCGCTATTGCACGAAATTATACTTGTAAAAGTAAATCGCAAAGTATTACGTTTGATAATTAAAAAAACAATATTAGTATGTAATGTTGCCATAATCATTATTAAATTTAACAGCCAAAAATTGGTTTGGTAACAAAAAATATATGCTAGATGTCTCACTCCTTAGCCAAACAGAATATCAATAAATAAATTATAGATTTCACTACCGCAAGAAAACTCACACAAATATGTTGGCAATTTAGAAGAATTTCTATAAACCTTTTCGTCATATAAATTTACTATGCTAATAAATAGCGTGTGATTCTTCACCGACCGCTTAAACTCTCGGGTAAGATTTGCATCAATCGCGATTTTTATCAGCTTAAATATTTGCTCTTTCAATCTTCGCCATATTGAGAGGAAAAGTCGAAGACGAGGAATTCTCTGATTGTGAAAACAATCGTGGCAATAAATCGTGTGCGGAGCCTTGGCAACGAATCTTGAGGGAATCGAGGAGCATTCTTGAGGCGCAATGTCGGGGAACCGCGACAATGTCGGGTCATTTCTCACGCTCATTCCGGCACAGCGAGCTTCAATAAATTTAAATATAAATTCAAATTTATTGTTAAAATAAATTAATTCCGAAACATTACCGTTCTTTGTTCTAATAAGTAGACCAGTGGGTGAGAAAACATTTGAACAGCGATCGATTGGTTGAAATAATCACGGCCTGTATTATTATAACGATGAAAATCTTACCACGCACAGTTTTCAGTTTTGTGGTTGGCAATGTGTTGGAAAACAAAACAGTTTACTGTTTTGTTGTTGACACATGTTGGCAATGCGTAAATGTCTACCAATTTGTACACTTATTTTGCGCAAAGAATGGTCCACGGGCGACGAGAATGGAAGCCTACAGATATTCATAGCCTGAATAAGCTGTTAATGCAAATGCTTGACTCTCAAAATATATTGCTGAATATCTTATGACTTCTGCTAGTTTATGAACTGCGTTTCGTTTGTTTGCTTGCATGACCGAGTTCATCGAAATTTCCACAGGATGACGAACTTAATTATTAGCAAGCGATCCACCGCTTTAACCTGCGACATTATTTATTGCCAACTCGAGGCTAAGAAACAAAATCTAATTCGCGGAAATGTCAGCTCCTGCAACACAATTATGAGACTACACGGCAGTTATTAAGATGCGGCGACGAGGGTAAAATCAGATTTAATTTAGCACCACTTCAGCAACGGCAGTTTCGTAGAACTTTGTAGACAAGAGGACGAGCAATGCACTGGCATTCGCAGGTAATCTTTGAACGAGATAAAACATAAGTCACTAAACGACGAATAAACAGAGATCTCAGTCAATTAATTTCAATTAACTGATTTTCCATTACGAAAGCATTGCCTTGAATTAACATTAAAGTACAAGCCGATCGTCCTTTTTACGCAGCTCAGCGAATTTTTCGATTGCAAAACGAACGTTACACTCGTTCTACCTTCCAAAACCTAAACTCATTTCGAAACTATAGAACATGTCGAGGTAGTACATCACGTCTGAAAACATTTCAAATCTGTTGCAAGATATGCAATTAATCAACACGAAATATTCAGTCAAATGTGATCTTCCATGACGCCCAAGAGATCATTTACCCTCAATATATTTCCCCGCGCCCGCCATTTGTCATTTGTTTACCGCACGGGCGGCGGCAGCGCAGCGGCGTTACGCTGATAAGGGGAACGGAGTCTCGTTACATCGAGACTGCGTTACTCCATTGATATAAATAAAAATTATTCATTACCATATGCTTCAAATTCATCTCTACGCGTGTCTCCTTGTGTGTTTGCGTTCTTTTTTTATCTTCGTTTTGTTATTTTCGAGAAGAAACGAGCAGTACTCACTGCAGTGAGTGACGGAGAGCGCATTTTCTCGTCGACGAAAACGTGAAGTCACGGACGGATGGACAGACAGACAGACTGACAGACAGACGGACATGGCGAGCACAATAGTGCATTTTTAAATAAATGAGAAAATGCGCTAAAAACTATTCATTGTCACACGCTTCAAATTCATCTCTACGCGTTTCTCCTTGTGTATTTCCGTTCTTTTTATTTTCGTTTATTATTTTCGCGAATAAATGAGCTTGAAAAAGAAGAAAAGCATAATGGAAATGCCACATGAGGCCCTTCTTATTCCAATTACTTGATACTTGACGCGTATCAGGTTTATAAGAGGCATGAAGAACTGCATGAAAATTATCATGAGTTTTTATTATTGCAAATACAAATATTTAAAATGTAAATTATCTGAACATATATAGTATAATATTGGAACATTATGGACTATAATGATTTGAGTTGTGATGTAGAGATCTATGATTTCCTAATGTATTTTACTTCTCAAAATGCACGGCTGCGAAATAAGTGCAACTGGTACTAATCTAATAATGAAATCTTTGAATTTGTTTTATAGATTCCTGAGCTAATAATCTATTTTTTACGTAAGGAGTCGATTACACTGATCATACCTACACACTGTACGAAAGTTTCATGGCATCTCATCTGGTTTTCCATTGAAACTATAAACACAACTTGCATAATATCAATAAGAAAATAGCGCACGTTGGAAATTTTTTCAATTCGTTCGTAACACAACTCAAACAAAGCCTGTATTTCTTTTATGTTTTACATGAGGGGTGAATGCCATAGTCTCAACTCAACTGCATTTGTCGCACTAACATCCGTGTTGGATCATCTTGCAACGTGAAACATTTCAAAAAGATTGCCAGTAGAGAGGATGAGCTTTGGACAGAAATTAATGTTGATGTGAATGATCGGAAAGTTAAGATATCGTAATATGGGGATTATTCCACCAATTCGTCAGCGATTAAATTTTCCTAATGTATTCAATGCG